CTATTATACAATAGACAGGAAGTCACCAATACACAACCAGCAGATTTCCATGCAGAATGTAAATATTTATTTAACATATTTATATGGCCAAAGGAACTCTGGATGGCAAATAGATACAAACAGAACCACTGCAACATCCTCTACATGTGGGGTTGCCCTTGAAGACCATGCAGGAATTACAACTGGTCCAGAACGTAGCGTCATGTACAATTTTGGGTACCCCAGGTTTGCCCATGTTACACCACTGCTGCGCAAGCTGCACTGGCTTCCAGTTTCTTTCCAGGTTCAACTCAAAGTACTGATTATCACTTTTAAAACCCTGAATGGCACAGGGCCAGATTATTTATGGGACCACCTCTCCCTGACGGTATCTGCCCACTCTACCAGGTCAGATAGTGTGGGCCTACTCCTAGTCCCTTCTGTTAAGTGTTGCCATCTGGCAAGCCTAGACAATGTGCCATCTTAGCAGCAGTCCCTGCCCTTTGGAACACCACTCCCCCTAAGATGTGGGCCTTCCAAAAAGCCTTAAAGACCTGGTTTTCCCTACAAGTACTAGTGTAATATGTGGCTGGAGCCCAGTAAAATTGTTTATAGCTGTGAGGGGTGTGTTGTTTTGGGGGCAACAGGACTTTTAGGCTGGCTCTGTTTTTATTGCTATTTGTAAGCTGCCCAAGGCTATGTTGCATAAGATGGGTGGTTATATGATTTTTTTAATAAATAAAATTTAAAAATCACAATCCATAACGTAAAAGGTATCAAATAAATATGCAGCCCCTTTTCACCAAAAATCAATAAATAATATTCATTGTCAGTCTCCTCATGGTGCAATGAGTATCACTGAATCAGATGGTTCACAATAATAAAAATACAATATGCTTGTCTACTTTTATATAAATACAGATAGATGACAAAAGAAATACTGTCACTTACTAATGGGCATTAAGAGAAATTTTCTGATGGTAAGAGATGTTAAACATTGGCACACTGAACACTAAACACTAGAACAATGAACAGCAGCATCTATGCACACAGCAATGATGTCAAAATGACATGCAAGTGGTGACATCATCATGTAAAACCAACCAAATTTGTTTAAAAACCCAATGATCTTCTTAGGGAGCTGCATCTCCCTGTACTTACTATCCTATCTGAAGTCTGAATTGTCACTTATGTTTTGCCACTTATCCTCCCCCACCCAAATGCCCATAGGAAATAAGTCCCCCTTGCATGAGGTTTTCAAACAGGGGATGGATGAACCATTAGAGATAGTTTAATCAATTTCTGCAGTGGACTAGATGAGCCATGAAGACTCTTTAAACTCATGCATTCTATGATTTGGTAATGTTATTTCCAATATATTTCCAATATGATTCAGTAGTTCTTACTAAGACTTACAGGTTGCAAATACCTGCTGATGTTCTTGGCCATGCATAGTACATAGCCTTAATCAATAGAAATCACACCCCATTAAAAATAGTGGCACTTACTTTTGAGTAATCATGCATGGGATTAGTATATAATAAGGGTAGGCGACTCATGGATGGGCCCTCAGAATCCCAATTCTGACATTCAATGACAAAATGGTCCACATTTGGCAGCATGATTTTGTTTTCTTTGCAAATCAAGAAATTAGTGTGAGAATAAAGATCTCTAAAAGACAAACCACTCATATGTCTTCCATTAACTTGCCCCCACAAAATCATACTAAAATGCATCATGATTTTGAGCTGTTTTAAGGGTGGAGACAGAAGCAGTTTACCCCCCACTTCCCACTCCCATCTCTAAATACCATCCACAAGAAGCCCTCTCTCAAAAATCAGACAAAAAAAAAAAAGCCTGGGTTAAGAAAAGTATATTACCATATCACTGGAAGGGATCCTGACTGGGGACTGAGTTGTAGGCCCTAGTCAAAAATGTACTGCACTCATAAATGTGTATGTTTAAGTTATTCAATAATTATGTCACTTTTTAAAATACTCTTTCTCAAAATCTGAGATTTTATAATACTGTAAATCTTTACTTCTGCAGTTTGTGAAACACTTCATATTTAAGACAAATATATCTGTCTTAAATTTGTTAAGAAACCCAATGATCTTCTTAGGGAGATGCATCTTCCAAACTAGACATATCATGTGTACACTCCAGAAAATTACAAATGTTTAAAGATTTTTAGAAATCCCTAAATTAAAGCTATGGTTTATAAAACTACTGTATGTTCATTTTTGTTACATGCTTTAAGTGCATTCCTTTAATGCTTGAAAAGTGAAGGCAGAGAGTTTGGAGGCTTATTGTCTATGACCAGTGAGCAACTAGAAAGAATTACAGTTTAAAATTATGCTCTAACTCTAAAAGTGGCACAGGCAATTCTTTTTGTTCAATGACCACGTTCCTCTGGAAGTGATCTATTGAGGACAGCATGTCAACAGTGGGTGAGGCCTAAGCAAGCAGTGGGCAGGGCCTGATACAAAAGTTGGGGTTATCTATTTGCTCTTTCTAAACCCCTTTTCTGTTTCTGATGTCCTGTTTTTTCTTTCCAATATTTTCTTCTGATTTTCTCTGCATCCCCCTACCCAATCTGCAAGTTAGGACAGGCTGCTCTTTTTATTGCCAAAACCATGGAATCACTGCTTGTAGAGAACTTTGAATTTAGGCCAACAAATTACACTTTCATGTATGCATGTAACCTGTTTTACGTTACTGAGTTTTATTATGTACTGGACATTGACCTTAGTAAAAAAAATTTTTCTTTCTTCTTGAACAAGGCCTTCATTAAATTAATCTGAGACCCACATATGGCCTTAGTTCTGTTGATTGTTCACCTTGTTCTACAGTGTCACTTTTTCTTTATAATGTTTATTATTTAAATGAAAGATGCAAGGGAAACTCATAGGTTTATAACAAGTACCGAAGGTTGCATGAGGGTAGATTAAACTTCTCATGTGACATGGAAATTATCTTTGTAACACTGAAGTAATATTTCTGGCTCCCAATGCCAGAAGATAAACTTTAATGCCAGTAAATTGTCTTCTGAAAGAGTTACTGAAGCAATTACTATCCATGATGGCCTTGCAAGTTGAATTAACAAAATGAGAAAACCAACATCTCAGCACAGTAGATAAATATTAGGTACAGCAAGTACTGCAAATAGGAAATGCAGCCAGAAAATGGATAAGGTCTATTTATGTATTTCAAACAATGTAAACAAGTAGTTTGACAGGTTTATTTTATTTGGTCTAAAAATAAAGATTGACCCAATATTAAAGATTGCTGTACATACTACTGATGTCAACCAGTTAGCCAACTGTGAGTGAGCAGCTTAATAAACCTAGTTCAAACTGATATATATACAACAACTTTAGCTTTTCAAAGTTTAATTTCCCCAAAGAAACCACAAAGAGCCAAATGCCTACCATTCAGTGTATTAATAAATGACATAAACCAAACAATTTCAGGTATTTTCTATAGTACCTTCATTTCAAACAGGGCTTACCATTTTCAGTTCCTTATCTAGGAACGTGTGCAAAAGTGACATGAGTGATGCAAGTCTGATCACTGGAATGGAGAAAGAAGGCACATACTTCCACTGTGTATGGCCAGGATTCTAATTGTGTTCAGATCAAATTTTTTAAGATGTTACTGACAAATACCAACAATTTGCTTTATTATGTAAATGTTTTTTGAACTGGAAATATCTAGTTTCTCAAAAACAATGCAGTATTTCTCAGATATAAAGTTTATGTACTTCCCAGGAATTGCTTATTTAAGAAACACATACAACACAAACAAAAGGCAAAAGCCACTGAATTCGCTGGAGTAAGCACCATGGTCAGAGAGCTATCAAATACCAAAAATCATGAATATGCAGTATTCATTCTTCCAGTATACCATATGTTGTTGAATCAAAGTTCCTTTCCATCCATTACTAACCAACATTTTAAGTAAAATTAATCATTTGATAAGCAGTATAATTGCTACATCTTGTGGCAACACAGTTTAATGCAAGAAAGAAGGGGGGGAATGGACAAACAATAAAAAAGACTTGTTTGCACATAACCTTCATACAGATATTCCCTGCAAACACCCACAACACCCTGCTCTCTCACTGTCGTTCTGATACGAGAGGGGTGGGGGAAGGAAAAGAGGGAGGGAAGAAAGGAGGAAAAATCGTATAAGATGCAATGGAGAAAAAGGAGAAAGTTGCAGTTATTCTGTCCTGGTTTTTAACACATCTCCCTCACTTCTATGAGAAGCCTATGGCTTTAGAAAGTGTCTTCCTTATATCAATAAGTACGTCGATCTTTGTCTCTTTTCCACCATCCTGCACCTCCATGATGCCAGAACGATTCGACCCTTTTTCATGTAAGCAACAGCCACGTTCATCACCATTATCACCATCAGCGGAGAAAAAAAAAGAGCTCCCCCCTTTTTTTCATTTGTAACAAGAAATAATCAACTACCAGGAAAAGAGAAATCTGCAAAATATTTCCCTTTTGTAAAAAAAAAAAAAATCAGTTTAAAAACAAAGAGGAGAAAGGTATCAATTTAAGACCCTTATACCGGGGATTTGTCAAGGAACTGTGGAGGCATTAAAATCTACCCTCTCCAACACCACTGAAAAGTGAGAGGGTGGAAGGAATTAAGTCGACCCTGAGGGGTGGGGGGTCTAGAATAAATGGCTAGATTAGGGCTGGAGTTTTCCTGAGCTGCCTGCCTTGGGGAGGGGGGCAGAGTCTAGACCTTCCACAGTCGGATGCAGAAGGAAGACATTTCTCGCCTCTTCTCGCCTGCCCTCATCGCGCACTCGGCCCCGCAAGCCAGGGACTGGCCTCAGGCGGCGGCGGCTGCCGACGCTGCTGATGCTATTGACACCGCCGTGCCCCTCCCTCCCTAAGGGTCCCTTCCCCACATCAGTCAGTCAGTCAGTCATCTTCCTCCTCCTCGCCTCCCCTTCCCCGCCGCGGAACCAGAGGCTGAGCGCTTCTCCCTCCCTCGCTATTTACCTTCCTTGAGCGGCGTGTTGTTATGGAGCAGGGAGGCCGCCGCTGAGGCCGCCACGGCCGCCGCCGCCGCCGCC